AGAAATGGCAGATAATTAGTAGTCACTGAAGCTGGGTGACAGGTCTCATAGCATTTTGCTATTCTGTAAATGCTTAAAATTTTCTGTAACAAACTGCTTTTATAAAAAATGGAAATTGGTCTACGGTGTTAGCCGGTGAGGTGTTGGTTTCTTTGTGGAGGAGGGTGGGAGACGTGATGGCGGGGTGTGTCGCGGAGGCTGGAGCGAAGCTGACGTTGCTTTTGGCCACACAAGCGTGTCCACTCTGTAATGACCTATCGAGGTGCCCGTGAATGCTTCCTGCATATATCTCTGTATGCATGTTACATGCCAATAAAATTTAAATGCTGCATATTTACACAAAAATCCTAACTCAGTATCTCAGAATAACAGCAGGGTTTTGTCTTGTTTTGAAGCGGGACACGTTCACTGATGGTCTCATCAGATGGATTTTAATATTCCAAAGTATTCACATCCTAACCCTCAATTGACCCCTTAGAGTCTTCCAGTTTTTGCCTCCATTTGGTAGGTGGCGTGATTTTTATTTTTTATGATGCGATACTTTTTCCAGAGCAGCTCACCAGGACCACAACTCTTAGCACAGCACCCCGTGCACAGTGTGCGCTCAGAACCTGCAGAACTGGGTTGAATCAGGAATAAAACTAGTGGAAGGGATGCCAAGGATGGTAAGTAGGCAGTGCAGGTGAGGCTGAAAGGTCACGACGCAGCAGCGAACGCTTTTACTTGATGAACCATTTGGAACAATTTCACCCAAAGATGGGGGTTTAAAGCGATGGTCTCCAGCCTTGACCAGGCCCCGTAATCACCTGGAGAGCCATTAAAAATACTGATGCCCGGGCCTCACTCTAGGGATTCTGATTTAATCGGTCTGTTGCACTCGGGTTTAAGGAATTTTCAGAGCCCCCCAGGTGATGGTCCTGTGCAGCCAGGGGTGAGAACCACTGACTCAGGGCTGTCGACGCATTAGCTGCAAGCGATTTCCGCGTGTGCTTCGGGGTCTCCGAAAACAGCTGCGCCTGTTAAAAGCAAAGGACTACTTTCTTACTCAGCAGCAGGAGGAAATGTCTTCTTAGCAGATCTATTTCTGTGTCACTTGCTTTCAGAGTCAGGTGGTTTTAGACACGGTAGTTTGATTTAGTCTGTGTTGAAAATCATAAAGAGCCTACAAGTACCAAAAAAAGATGAGAAGAATTTGCCAACGTGTGGAGTGCATTATGTATTTTTCAAATTTCTCCTGTGATTAGTAATGAAAACGATATTGCTGGGGCCTGATTTCCTCAACTCAGCCCTTGGCCATTTCTCCAAGTTATTCCAAGTCTTTCCAAGACACTTCAGCACTCTCTCAAGGGGATTATTCCCAAAGGTAAAGAGTACTAGACACTGAAATCTCTGCACAGTCTGTTCCTACTGCAGAAGTGTCTGCCTCCAGAACCTCGAATGACTAGGGAGGCTACATCAGTTGTGGGTCCAGTGGCAGTGGGTGGGCTCTGAAGACAGGTGGACTTGATTCCCAGTCTCAGCCCAGCCACTCAGTAGCTGTGGGGCTCTGGACAAGTTACTGGACTTGGAACAGCTATATAAACCTCGTTTTCGAGAAAAGGCATCCTTATACTGAGTGCTCAAACGGCAGTGATTCTTCATCCCTCCCTGTATCCAAGCCCTTTGAAATGTGATTTTACAGCTGCTCCCACTGAGAGCTAGAATGTCTTCCTCCAAACCCTGCCTCAGGGCTGTGGCCAGTAGAATGCAGTGGGCCTGCCAGTGGGCCAGCTTGGGACCTCGGCTTAAAAGGTCTTAGATGCTTCTGCTTTTTCTTTCAGAACACTGCCGTCTCCATGACAACAAGCCCATGTTAGCCTGCTGGAGGATGAGATACTTCAGGGAGTAGAACCAAGGTGCCCAGTCAACAGCCAGCTCCTCACCAGAAGCAGAGCCCCCTAATCAACCTGCAGCTGACCACACATGCATGAAGGAGCCCAGCTGAGACCAGAAGAATTGTCTAGCTGAGCCCAGCCTGAGCTAGGTGAGTATTGGGGTGGCTTGTTATGCAGCAGTAGCTAACTAATACATACGCCCACTGCAGACAGGATGCCAGGATTCAATGATATGTTCATCACAAGTGACTTGGCAAACAGTAGGCACCCAATAGGGGCTGGTTTCCCTTTCCCCTTGTTTAAAGTTGGATCTCTTGAGTTATACAGAAATTCTTGTCATCATGTATGCTTGTGATTGGTGCTTAAATGCACTCAGTGCCCCACCTGACAGGAGGAAAGAGGCAACCAGAGTCTGACCACTAGGGCCCAAGGCCAGATTGCAAAATAAGAAGTTTGTCTTTAATCTGTTCCCTCCAAATCTAAACTCTGGAGGTCAAGGTTGTGGACAGATTTGAAAACATTGGGCTCCACCCTCTGGGGGCCCCATCTTCCTTCCTTTGCTGTCTGATCTCTGGAAAGGGGGAATGGGCCCACACCAAGAAGCAGCTGGGACGCAGTCGTTGAGCTTTGGAAGCTTTCTGCTTGCACCCCTCTGCTCCCTCCCTGGACTTGACACCGTCTCTCCCCACCTTGGGTCTGAGGAGAGATGTTGGTAGGGCTTTCAGCTCTAGAAACCAGAAAATCTGACACAATGGTATGAACAAGCAAGGGCAGATGAGGCCGCAGAGGTTGGCAGGGGCCAGGTTAACTAAACTTTTATTCAACTGCAACGAGAAGCCAGTGACAGGGTTTAAGTGGGGGCGGGGTTTGCATATATCATGTTGTTGACATTTTCCAGAGATCAGTCTGGATGCTGAGTGGAGGATGGACAGTAGGAGGACGAGACGGCTAGGAGGCTGTGACTGGCAGTGGACTAGAAAGAGAGGAAGGTTACCGGCCGTGGTGGTAGGGTGGAGACAGTGGGGAGGGGCTGCAGAGCCATTTCAGTGAAGCATTGTGGAGAAAAGCTGGAATGAAACGAGTTCAGTAGAGAATGTGAGGAGAAGCAGCCCTAATGGAGCAGAGAAACAGCGGCAACGCAGAGCGACCTGTGGTCAAAGGAGGTCTGCTTGTTTAATGCACAACACGAAGGCATGTTTGTCCGCTGACAGAAACCACCCAGTGGGGAGGGAGGGAGGGAGGAATGTGATCGGCAAGGGACATTACACACGCAGAACTCTGGGGAGGGAGGCAGAAAGGACTCCTCAGCCCCAAACTGACTTGAAGTTGCAGCTTTCATCTTTGAAATAAATAGGATTTTGGCCTTCTATTTCATAACACAGGACACCCCGCAGATCATATCCTCGTCACGCTTCCCTGTAAGAACACCTCTGAGTTCTCAACACCCAAAATACACAGCAGCTACTTATCTCGCCATACATTTTCCAGCTGAAGTTCATACGTATAGGATTTACACCAAGCCTTCAAAACTTAATACAATATTTTGGGCTTCCCTGGTGGCGCAGTGGTTGAGAGTCCGCCTGCCGATGCAGGGGACACGGG